TCAATCATTTTTTTATAATGCCTCTAAATTCTCAGTATTTGTAGAAGTTTTGAAATGCTTTGATATTTTATGTAGGTGCAGATTAATGTTGTTCACTTGCAAAAATTTTCAATGAACAGGTTTTCTGAGGAAGGACTTTCTAAAATATTTTTACTAAAGGCACTAATATGATTTTTGTAATTATTTCTATTAAATATAAGATAAGTAGTCAAACACATTTTCCTCCTCTATATTCCCAAAATAATTCATTCCAGAATCCATTTCACCAGATATAAATATTCCATATAACGAACTATAATCCGAATACAAATGATTTAGAAAATCGCTGCCAATGAATTTATACATAGTTTGCTTCTGAAAACGGATAAAATCCAGTCCATTTACCGATATAGCATCGTAATAATATCGGAAACAAAATGGCTTTGCTATGAGAATATATTCATGGGATAAAATACAGAAGTAATAATACTAGTAATTTGTATTATGAGGATGAAAATTATTGCAATTGAGTAAATGCTTCAGATTTCAAATATAATATACATATTTAAAATTTACAATATAACTTTGAGGTCTATGTTCATTATTATTTTTTTTAGTAAGAGTGATAGAGTTATATATACAAATAATACTACCACCATTATCTCATAAACAAGTTAAGTATAGAGTTGTTTAACGATACTATTTTAAAGTAGAAGGGCAAAATATATAACCAACCTTCACCTTGATTTTTATGACGTTGCTATAATAAGATAAAGGGCCAAGTATTAATATTCATAACAAAAGTGTTTTTTCATTGGTTTGTTTTGACTTTAAGCTCTTTTATTTAGTTTATGATACTTGAATTTTCAAGTTTACGCTATTAAATTGTTTTATAATATTATATATATATATATATATATATATATATATTTATATACAAGGGTATATCATTCTCTTTACATGGTCCCCCAACCCCCCAGTAGGCGGCACTTCCCCAAATACTTTTCCTTCTCAAGAAAAGTGTGGCGATAGACGCTCTTGAGAACGACGAAAGGATAAATGTACATATTGGGGATGTTCGAATTTTTCTTGGGGGGTGCTAGCAAATTCTACAACTTGGTACACGATGTATCTGTGTTGACGAGTTTATGGTTATAAAAGTGTAAAAACGACTGGGGATAAAGAAATATATTATCAAAAAATGGAAATGATAAATTGATAAATAAATTGTAGAATTTGATTGATTTAATTGAGTCCCTTGCTTTTATTAAAAATTTGAAAATTGCATGTAAAATTTAAATTCGGTTGAACCTTGATTACACTAGAAACTAGAAATACAATTTATTGATATTGACTACGACTTGCTTATGAATAGATAGATGAATAGATCAATAAATAGTCCAAATTTACAAATGCAAAACGGTTCAATCCATGGATTCCTAAGTCATTCAAATACAACTTATATCAAATCAGTTCAGTCAGTTTCATCCAAATTATCACAATTCGAGCGTCATCGACCTGGTTTACCCAAATTAGTTCTTCGTGTCGTATCAGATTTTCTTTAAAATCCGGCATGAGGGGTACAAATGGGTACATGTGTACGGGCTTTATCTTGTGAGCTTTTTCGTTGTAAAACGAAGGTAAAGCAAAGTCTGGAACAGATGAAAATGCCCGGAAACAACCCTCGCCGTACGGAATACTAAACAGTTGGTCGGAGGGATAGAATGTAGTTACAGCGATATACGCTCTTGAGGTATATCGCTTCATCTTCGATGGAATTCGTCAGATTTTAGAATTATCAGAAATACCAAGGAAAAAAGATTAATTATCCTTTATAGGAGCAAATATAAGAGGAAACTTAGGTGTATCTCCGGACAGATTTTCCACGTTTTTCGATGGAAACCATTAGCTTTTAAATTCGGCCGAATGTCGTATTTTATATTTTAATAAATTTAATCATATTCAAATGCTTAGTTACATGTTATTAGTAAAAATGCTGATGTTAGTAAACTTGATCTATTTCTCATCACGTGCAATTTTTCTGGTGACAGAAATCACTAGAATTTCATTGATGTCTCACGGTTCATTGAATAATTTATTATATTGTAGCAGTAGTGCACAACAATATATAGAAATATATGAACATCGGGAACATATTTATCAAAAATTCTCATACTCAAAACTGAATAATAAAAAGAAACTGCTTGACTATTTTGATAAGCACTTGATTTCTTGCATCCAAAATATATCATAATGAATAAACGATTATATAGTAATGAAATATACGTTTTGATATTCTAAGTGCTAAATTTCTGGCATTCTATAATATCTAATCTTTTCCTCTAAGTGTTAAGTTTTCCATCGCAATCCGTCTTCATCGACCCACATCGAGACATGAGGAGTAGGTAACTTATTCGCATATGTAGCATCGAGATGTCGATATCGAGAAAACTTCCCTTGTATTATATATTTATACGGTTATCATATTTCCATTAGCTACATTTCCCGCATGATTTTCAGGCTGCCGTTACACAAAATAAATGTCCGTTATATAGAACAACGCCGGATCTCGTCTCGGTTTCCTCTATACGTGCTGTCATTATATATCGCTTGTTTCCTTGCTTTTCTCCTCACAATATGGCGGCACCTCTTGGTGTATTATTATAGATTATTGTATATTATATATAAAGCAGCCCATTTGTTCGTGGGTTTTCGAGCTCATCCCTACAGGAGCATATTCGCATTACCGGGGCACCAAAGTGGGCGAATTGATGTCAAGACACATGTAAATGGATTGGATGGGATGAACTCTTTTCAGCAGTTGCTCATTGATAAAAATGATACATAACATATAAAATTTATGGGTCTATCTTTGTATGAGTTGTTAGTAACGAGCTGTCAAAATGCTATGATTGCTGGGCGTCAGGCGTTACACATAAAACATAACCTTAAAAACGCACACACATTCAATAAAAATTTTATCACAAGGGCTACTTTCTGATGTCTCTTTGATAACACATACGAAAAATTATGTGTAAAACGTCTAATGGCACAGAAATACATGGGTTTTTGACAGTTTGTTTTTACGAATTCATACAAAGATAGGCCTATAATATAGCATTACCTTCTTAGATCAACATTTTGTTCAATATATAAAATAGCGGGATTGTTTAAATCAAAGGTGTGTTTAAAATTTTGCATATGGTCTGAAAGCATTGTTTTGTATTGATTTTTATTTTTTGAATTATATTTATGTTGAAGCATTCTCTTAGATATACGAGTATATTGTGAACTCTCCCCAATATAAAATTTTTCACAATCATTACAATTCACCTTGTAAACAGAGTCAACAATTCTATCATGTGGTGTTTTTGATTTTAAAGAAGTATACACAGAATTTAAAGTATTTAACACCGCCAGGAACTGCAGGGAGTTTCAGCATTTTACAAATTAATCTTCTAATAGTTCCCTTCTAATACCATTTCGTAAAATTATTAAATATATTATAAATGTTGTTCAATAAGTATTTTTATTTAAAAGTATATTTTTTTAGAAGTATTTTTTTATTATTACAATGCGGCTCTGATGTAAAGATAGACAAAACTGTTAATGGAGTTTCCTCCAGAAAACTTTTCTGTATCGAAAATAGAACCATTTGCGACCAGATACGGTTTAACTAAATCAATAACGCTATAACAACTTCTGTAGATAAGGTAGAAGCATATACAGAGTTACAAAATACATAAATGGGAAAAAGAATCTGTAATACTAAGTTTTTTTTAGATAACACTTTTTTTGAAAAAACTAAAGGATATATTTTCGAGTATTAGTTTAATATTTGTTGAAACATGTATAACAAATTTCGAGCAGTACATGAAATAAAAAAAATTATTTTCACTTCTGAGTACGTGTCTAGAAATACATACCCTAATTAAAAAAAATCAGACATGTTACATTTATGCTAGAACTTTCTAGATCTAGTCTAGAATTTTCTTCCCTACATTTTAGATACCTAATAAATTGTTGAATTTTGATCTTACTTACCACTTTACTGGCAGTAGATACATATTATATTTATATGACATAAAAAACGATATCTTTTAATTAGACGTGTTATCATTCTAAATAACGTTATTACATATTATTACCACCGATGCTTTCCTTTTGTAAATAAATGCATATGTGCACATCATTTGTGCTTATTACATTACCGATAAGAATTAATATAATCAATTTGTGTCTATATTTATTCATTCGGCATATAATTGGAACTAGGATGATATAATGTGAATCTAATCTATAGGGAAATTCACTTGTTTGTTAATCACACGCATTTGGGGCTTGTTTATCTATTTGGTCTTTTATGGTGGAAAATATGCCGATAAATTCAATTATATTTTTACATGAATTATGGATAAGAGTTTTTATCATCGATAATCAATACTTGAGCAAATATTTGATAGTGAGTTATCTAGGTTATATTTCTATTATGTTTCATAACGTTATTAGAAATAATTAATTTATTTTAGCTTATGTGGATTGTGATTAAATGTTATGTAAAGTGCGCTTGTGATATCGATTTTGAGTTATTTTTTTAGCGAAATTACTTGTACGATTTAAAATATTGATAATGACAAAACAACCGCATTATGTTACACTTTTAATTCGCTAGATTTATCAGCAACCCCAATTTTAACAATACGATCGTATAGGGGTGTAAAAAGAATGCATTCTGTCACGCATATATCAATGTGATATCCGACAAGGGATTATCAATAAACCCCCGATGAAGTAAACAAGTGAAAAAACTCCTCGGACTTTAGGGGTTGTTTAGCGAAGAAAATATTTTCAACGGAATTAACTTTAAATGTAAACGGCCAGAGTTTTCATGTAATTTAAAAAAAAATTGAAGATGTAATATTAAATTATGAATGACACGATTATTGAAAGTTCTAAGAAAATCTGCTATCATACTTTGTATCATTTTATTTATTATATTAAAGTTGTGTGTTTTTTTCCAGTGAGCGGTGGTAGTCTAAGTTCACCTGGTGATAAAGATTCAGGAAAAAAGAAGCACACACGTCCAACATTTTCTGGACAACAAATTTTTGCCTTGGAGAAAACCTTTGAACAAACAAAATATCTGGCTGGACCAGAGAGGGCTAAATTAGCTTATGCTCTCGGGATGACGGAGTCACAAGTAAAGGTTAGTGCTTTTATTTTATGTAATTGAAAAATGTACTTTTGATACACGATTTAGGGCACTCATAGTTATATTGCATTCCTCATTTCAAGCGACTCTTTTGCGAAAAATTATAGAATTGTAGACATACAAATTATTAATTGAATAGATGACATCTGAAACCTTGGCAAAAGTAGAACTACACGTTCACCGATTCCTTTTATAGTTGTAGTAAGATTAATTAAATCGTTATGTAGGACAAGAAATAACATTCTTAAAAAATGTAGTCAACAATAATAAGCGTCATTAACGAAGGATTTATTAATTAATATCAGCAAGGTTAGAAAAATATACTTTTTCAAAATAAAATTCGTTCTACAAGAGTACTCGTTAGTGGTTTGAGCTAGTATTATGCTTCTGCTCTTTACCTTGTATTATGATATTGATGTTGTAGCCAACGCAATCTTCCGAATGATGAAACCAGAAATTATATTCTAAATATATCTTTACAAGAATATATATTCAAACTAATTCACCATCTTGTATGGATATAAATATCTTCCTCATTCGAATATAAATTTTTTTCTTTTTATGGGTGGATGATTGTACTATGATCTATTTATTATTTACCCACATATTTCTACATTTGTTACGGATTTATTATTTTAATAAAACGATGTGTCAGTTAAACCAAAATGACACGCCTTCTGGCATACGTTCCAATTTTCGATCAGGATTAACCTTAAGTCTCAAATGCATCAGAACAAATTTGCAAAGGGGTGTTCCTGTTACTTAAGCACATCATTTGCAATAACGGGGATGTTTTGAGATTTCCTAAATGCATTCCATCAACTTTGTGACAAGGCAAATATAGAGGATATTGGTTAGAGGTATTACAGAATTTTGATTTATATGCTAATTGGGTAATGGGAATCTAATGATTGTTATAAATGCAAAATTGTGATATGAGTTTGGGGAGAAAAAATTTCATAAATATTTTCTACTTTTTGGTTAAATTGACACCACCCATTTCCTTACCCAATTTTCTGTTACCTGTTCTCCACCGTATCATGCGGTTTTCACCCTAATTCACGGTACGCAATCGCGGCAAAGAGAAAGACGGTTTGGGCTTAATGGAGCCTCCTTGCTTGCGGATATGATGTTACAAATTGCCTCTTTCACTTCACCTCACGAAGCAAATAATCTCTCTGGATCTATAGCTTTGTTGGATAAAAATCTATTTTTCTAGTAATTGAACGCTCACTCATTTTAATTGTAGTTGCCACATCACTCCCCTTTCACTTTATTACCATTAATTAATTATATAAATAAAACGATTTGACAAAAACATATCATTTCGTTTTTTTAAATCAGCGATTTTTACCAAATGTCGTCTTCAGAAAATGTTGAAATTGAAGCCAATATGATTTTTAACTCAGTTTTACCTTATTTGTTTTAAAATTTCTGCAACTTCCACTTTTTCTGTATTACATATGAGTGTGTTTTTCGGGGTACAATTTTATTCAATTTTTGTAATTTGAAACATATGTTGCAATCGTCTGGACCGCATTGCTCTTAAATCCGTAGAATATTAAGTACGCATTGGGCGACACAGAACCCGTTAGAAATATGTGCCTTTAGAGGGCCCTACGTTTCCTACAAGTGTGGCGCATAATGGGGTGACAGCGTTTAAAACGTATTTGGGATAGAACTAGGATTCTAAAACATATTTACTTACATTATTTATAGTTTGTACATTTATAACACTGAAATTTCTTAGACTCAGTTATAAATTTTTATTTCTATAACTTTGAAAATTATGTTTATTCAATATTACTCATTTCGTGAGTACTGTTCAATGTGTAGTTCATAGTATTTATTTCTCATACTATAAATAAAACATGAAATAAGATTTAGGCTCTAAAACTTAATAAAACCATGCAATCGTTCTGTTGAGCTCAATTTATATGTTACCATAATCTATCGAATGATCTTCTTTAATTATGTCTTCCTTAAGTTTTTGTTTTTTGTGTGACTGTTTCTATTTGAGTATATATGCCAACCAAAGTCTTAAAGCAAGTTTTGTTTGAAATTAAGTAAAGTCTGCTTAAGAAATTTATTTAAAATTTAAAATACAAATTTTCATACAAATGCTGATTGCATGACTATTATTTTAATTTTTGTGCGATACTAAGAAACGAGGTTTAAAGTTTATACAATTTATCACTAACATTTTTATATGATTTTAAAATTTATTTTTCTATTAACAGTTTAAGAATAATTTTCACCAGATAGAGCTTTACGTATGTATATAAGTCGAGGGTTGACCTCGTAGCCACAACCCTAATCCGTGGCCCATCTGCGTGCGGCTGAGAAGGGCGCATGATGTTTTTGAAATTTGGCACACTGTTTTACGAATGAGATTTGTTATAATAATATTACTGAAATATTCGAAGATAAAACTTACTCCACGTTTAATAAGGTTAATAAACAACCATTATAATATGGTTTAGCAAATAAATCAAATGTCAAATCTGATCAAATACATTGACATAGGCATTTTTAGTAAACACAAGTAGTAAATTTACATTGTAAAATAAATATCCAAATGAAAATTAAGGTTGCAGCATTTGTCTGAAGTTTTTTTTAATAGAAATGCCTTCTGTAACTATTACTACAGAAATGGGAAATCTTATATTTAAAATATTCGATTCCTTGTTAATTTATGGTAAATAAATTTTCTAGTAAAAATTCGTATATGTAGAAACTTAATTTTTATTTAAAAAATATTGATGATGATTGCTAGTCCAATATTTAGTCTTTAACTTTACCACTATACATTAACAATTTCAGCTATCACAAATAGACTACCCCTTACCGTTTCTACTTTTTGCCTCACCGTTCTGCTACCCCCAATGCTACGGCTAATTGACCGAACACGTAGCACTTGTCAAACCCTCGCCAACGTAGGCCCGACAACGCTTTGTCTGTGGTCTACGCACACTTTGCGCGGCCGTTTTGCAGTCAATAACAGCCGGGAGATGATATGCGGCGGGGAAGTTTAAAGTTATGATTCGGACGCGGGTGTCTCCGTAACGGGGTGGATTGTTGTTGTTGGAAATAAGTTCATTAAATGAATAATAGTGATAATGTAGAGATTTTGGTAAAGTTTTGATAGTTATATTTTACTAAGACGTCAATTATCAAATGTAAAGTTTTATTCATTTATGCCAACTCAATCAACAAGTACGAGTTTGCATTTATAAAACCCACATTTAAGGGGCTATTCAGGTCGATGTTTTCAATTATATGCACAATTTTTTTTTCAAAATTTTATTTATATTACTAAACCTTTAGTAACGTATGTAATCTCCTGGTTCTATCTCAGATTGAAATATTTTCCTAAATGAAACGTGGCTTTCAATACGCTTAACAGCCGTCAATCATATCTCGGTTATGTATTCAACGGGCTTAGAGACGACCTCGCTCGCTTACCTTTCTGCCTACTGGCTACGCCAGGCGCATTGCGGGGACAAATCCGCGGGAATCCACCAATAAAAATGTAAATTATAGTAGGATGGGATCGTACTAACTAGAGCAACCCGTGACATCATGGTTTAAACCAAGGACTAGGATATGGAATAGTCTTAGGGATCGTTCAAGTATTACGTAAGCAGATTCATTACAATTATTTACCCCCCCATCCCCCTTGTCAGCAAAAGTAAGCAAAGCTTTTACCCCCTACCCCCATGCTTACGTAAACATTTTGCAATTAATGTAAAAAAATAAAAATACTACCTATGACGTAATCATCATCCAGACTCACCTGCCCTCCATGTCAACCCAAAATAAGCAAATCAACAACCTCCCGCCCCTCTAAAGTGCTTACTTAATACTTGAACGGCCCCTTAGGTTTGAAAATTTACAAGAATTTGTGGACAGAACTATTGCAGATACTTCTGTTAATCAATATTATTTTTCTGATTTAAATATGATTCACCTGACTGGTTATTTGCCTATGTCTGTATACCAGTCAACTTGTTTACAAGCTTGCATGCCTACTTTTTTAAAGTAAAACTTCTTTAGACGCGACTAGGGAGTAAATCTGTAAAACTGCAACGGAAGTCCGTTACGCCCAAACTTGGCCATTCTCATTTATATACGGGTCGTTTGTGATTAGTCGTCGTATCGAGTGAATAGAGATCTTTCGTTGTATGCGTACCGGCGTACGTTTATTTTAACACTGCTTTTTTGGGAAATATGAGCAAAATCTATCAAAAAATTCATTTCTAGAACATTCAGAACATTTTTAACAAGGCATGTATGTTTTAAGATTCTTTTCTGATGAAAATAGGAAACACTCAAATCTAAAAATCATTTTTGAATAAAACATATTTCAGCCCCACATTTTCAAACTACAACAACACTCTCTGCCCAAAACGAACAATATTTCATCTTCCTCAATGATTACATTTTTCCGTTCGTGATTGTTTTCATCCAAAACGCGACGGCGATGAGATTGGAATTTTAATTGTCATTATATCAATAGCTCGTGATGGAATTGTTTGTGCCGAAGTGACGGCACAAATGCAATGCGTTCGATTTTTGCATATTTTTTTGCATTTGCTTATTGGCGATCGCTCAACAAATTGAATGGAACGCAAATGTAAAGGAATTTTTAAGCTCACTATTTAATTGAATGAAGATCATTTCTTTATTTTCTGTAATTGTCCCTTTACTATATATACAAGCTTTAGTGAAATATTAGTTCATTTTTAAATTAGATCTATAGATTATAGGATTAAGTTGAGGCAGCGGGTTCTGCCATGCCCAAATTAGGATCAGCAGCTTTGAGCTTTTCGATAGCAATCTCTAAATGTTTGATACGATTGTTCGCTGCGTCAAGACGTTTCTGCAAAGCGACTTCGTCACTTGTATCTTCCATTGCTGGTCCAGATTCACCTAAAAAAATAAAATTTGTTTTATCAATTATTTGAATTCTGTACGTATAAATAGTCTGGCAT